ATAAACAGCACCTAGACAGCTGATACATGTAGGCCTTACACATGTAAACAGCACCTAGACAGCTGATACATGTAGGCCTTACACATGTAAACAGCACCTAGACAGCTGATACATGTAGGCCATACACATGTAAACAGCACCTAGACAGCTGATACATGTAGGCTATACACATGTAAACAGCACCTAGACAGCTGGGAGATTAACTCATTTGTATGTAGTGACAAGTGTTGTTAAATAACTACAATTTAGTTTATACAAATTGTCTAGAATTACATAAACCATATCCTAAATGTTTCTGATCATTTATTTGATTTTAGGTGGTTACACGAAGTTCTGCATAGTATCTCGTTCACTACTCCTGAACTTGACACCAAGTATAATAAATTACTGTCATATGGTTTGCCAGAAGAGCTCAAGTACCTAGAGTAAGTAACAATTGAGTGATTTTTGTGGCATTCGTGAAGACAAAGTTACGTGAAACCCACTGTGCTCCGTATCGTACAACCCGATATCAAATTTCACCATTTTCATTTTCTTGTAAAAAAAAATTTTCTGACGAAATTAAAACAGTTAAAATTATTTCACTAGTCTCATATAGTGTTGAAATGACTCGAGCTGAACCAGTCAGTTGAATTGAGATTTTGTTATAAAATACCAGCTTTGGTTTAGTATGTACCAAACAGATACACGCTTCAGTTTTAGGCATGGAGGTATAAACAGCAGTCACAACTGGTTTAAGCCTATTAAATGTCTTTTGTTTCTAGTCGAATTAATCCTCCTATTTTACCTGTTTAAACGTCCTTTGAACCGCATTATCATTTCCGCCGTTCGCGTTCACTGTCCTCTTAACTAAAGTCGGGCCTTTTTATTTCTCTGTTGTTATGCGGTGTTTTACGAGAATAAGAGTAAATTTACTTGTGCAATGTGTCTAACAAGTTTATTCATGTTTGAATTTTTAAAATCAGACGATCTATCAGTAAGTTATGTTGTTTTTCTGTTTTTTCTCTTTATACCTCCATGCCTAGAAAAAGGTTTGTTGTAATTATATAATAATAACTACGTCTTTATTTTTCAGAAAAATGATAGAAGTAACTTCATCACCAACAGTTTTTTGTCATAATGACCTCAATGAAGGTAAGAGAATTGTTTGACTGATATATATCATTTTGGGGAGATTCAATTCATACATAGACCAAGCTGGTAATGAACACTCTTATTAGCAGTAGGAGATTACTGTAACCTCAGCATGTCATGTAAATAGGATCTACCTACCTATTAGAATTTGCAAAAATTATTCAAACTGTGAAATAGTTTTTCAATTCCTTTTCAAAAATGATGGGACACACATGATTAAAACAGCTTTAGACAGGTTAATAAGTGTTAGAACTTATTATAATATTAATTGAAAATATAATTATTTGATATTTCTTGAAGTCAATAGGAACATAATTAACATTAATTTATATTTAGGTTAATAACGTAAGCGCTGAGTTTGTATTTGATGCGTTTATTACTGTCGGCCACAAAGCTTCTCAAAACCACGGACTGCTTATTATTCACTCTTAGCTCAGCAAAGCCACACAGGTCAAGAGTTCAGTTAAAAGGAGATACAAGGGTGTGTCACCAAAGGGGGTGGGGGGTCCACCACTGAGGTTAGTTTGGTCAACCTCAAACTGTCTGTATTGAAGCAGTGACAATTTCTCATGGGAAAACATTTTATACAATATACATCCAAAACAAGATCTTTTAATTGATATGTTGACTGGAAATATAACCAGCTAATCCTGTTAGTATCTATGACCTTTAAAGCTATTTATATAGAAAACTATAGAGAAGGTCTGGATGAATAGTTTAATACAATATTTGGTTACTAAAAACAAATTTCTACTATGACATATGAATTCTAAACTTTAATTTTGAGAGAGATAATCTATTAATTTCATGAGATTATGTTAAAAAACAAAACAAAAATATCATAGAAAATATCAAAATATCACCAAATTTTCTGTTTTTGTTATCTCCAATAATATATATATTTTGTTTTTTTGTTATCCAACATAATGAAACTAAAAAAACTTGATTTGTAAATTGTGTGAATGAGAGGGAGCTTAGGCATCATTTTTTTTTTCATTTGGCAGTCCGGAATTGGGTTAGTGTCCGGGGTACTGGGAGCTCACAAGTTTAACCAAGGAGTTGCCATTAACAAAAGTGAATAGAACTCCAATAAAATTAGTTAAAATGTGAATTCAATAGTCTGTACAAAGAGACATTGTTAAATTGTCAAATTAAATAGGTTTGATTGACAGTGTGAGAAAAAGTAGATTTGAGGATCTGACATCTTAGGAAATACATCCTGTACATCCAGTAATAAATGATTTTTTAATAATGAAATCTTCAATTCTCTGTTTATTAAATATTGTGATTGTTACATGAGTGATACCTTGAATGCAGCTGCCTCAGATTTTGTGTTCATTTCCTGATGTTATCTCGGTTTTGCCACAAGTTTAAGTTTGAATGTTAAAAGAAACTCGCATATCTTTTTTTAAAAAGAATCAAGTAATAATGACCTCTGATTTTTGGGATTAGGTATAATCTTTTAATGTTGATGTTATGTATTTGTCACATAGTTAAAATGGTGTTGCTATAAACAGTAACAAATACATGCATGTTTAAGTTAATACAATAAACTAAACCATATTGCAGTGCCTGTTCTGTTCATGTGTGTCCTGCTTTCATTTTGAAGAGAAAGGAAAAATCTTATTTTGACCATCCACTGTTCGCATTTGACTGATCCACTATACTCACATGGCTAATCTACTGTCCACACATGGCTAATCTACTGTCCACGCATGGCTAATCTACTGTCCACGCATGGCTAATCTACTGTCCACGCATGGCTAATCTACTGTCCACGCATGGATAATCTACTGTCCACGCATGGATAATCTACTGTCCACGCATGGTTAATCTACTGTCCACACATGGCTCATCTACTGTCCACACATGGCTCATCTACTGTCCACACATGGCTCATCTACTGTCCACACATGGCTAATCTACTGTCCACACATGGCTAATCTACTGTCCACACATGGCTAATCTACTGTCCACACATGGCTAATCTACTGTCCACACATGGCTAATCTACTGTCCACACATGGCTAATCTACTGTCCACACATGGCTAATCTACTGTCCACACATGGCTAATCTACTGTCCACACATGGCTAATCTACTGTCCACACATGGCTAATCTACTGTCCACACATGGCTAATCTACTGTCCACACATGGCTAATCTACTGTCCACACATGGCTAATCTACTGTCCACACATGGCTAATCTACTGTCCACACATGGCTAATCTACTGTCCACACATGGCTAATCTACTGTCCACACATGGCTAATCCATTGACCACATTTGACTAATTCACTTTCTATGCATGGCTAATCCACTGTCCTCATTTGGTTAATCCACTGTCCTCATTTGGCTAATCCTATGTCCTCATTTTGTTAATCCACTGTCCTCATTTGGCTAATCCACTGTCTTTATTTGGCTAATCCACTGTCTTCATTTGGCTAATCCACTGTCTTCATTTGGCTAATCCACTGTCTTCATTTGGCTAATCCACGGTCTTCATTTGGCTAATCCACTGTCTTCATTTGGCTAATCCAATGTCCTCAGTTGGCTAACCCACTGTTCCCATTTTGCTAATCCACTGTTTATACATGGCTAATCCACTTTCCATGCATGGCTAATCCAC